ACTGACATTTATTCTAAAACGATTATTTCTATTTTTTTTTTTTTTTTCTAACAAATGACATCCCACTTTGGTTCCCATGAACAAACAACGCTCCTCAGTGGTAACCTTGGACTTATGGAGGAGAATAGAGAGCAAACCTGATTCAGGCATTCGTAATGTCACTCTGCTATGGAAGCCTGTATGTTTGTTTTAAAAAATATATTTTAGTACAAATAAGAGCCAAACTTTGTCTTCTGAACAGTTTTACACTGATCCATTCTGTCGCCAGCCTGCTTTTGGTACAGCAACCTCAGTGAAGATCCAAAGCTATGCAGTCCAGTGGTCACAGGAAGGTCAAACTGTGACAGAGCTGAAGGACAGCGGCCAGAGTCAGGCAGTCGTCCTGATTGGTCCCAGCAGGTGTAACTTTACTGTTCAAGCTGCTCTCAGCACGGGGTCATCCATCTCAGCCCGCATCATCATCCCGCCAAAGGACGACTCAGGTGACGTTGGCATATTTTTTTATTTTTTTTTTAAGGATTTTTCTTTGTGCGAATATGATTAAAATTATTTTTTTAAATAAATGACCCAGCAGGCTTTTGTTCTTGTTACATGGGGTGAACATTCAAGCTATTTTGACAAACTAAAATGTGAAATAAATATTTTATATGCACTCCTTTCTGTTGATTGTTTTTTTTTCTCACAGGATGATGCATTAAGCTGAAAAGCTGAAACGTTTAGATAATAAATGATTGTAAATTTCTGGCTGTCCAGAAATCCCTCCAGTGAAGAAGCGCCTGAGCAGAACAGCTGATGGTTTCCATCTGTGGTGGAATGAGCAAACTTCAGTCACCTGCGGTCACACCGTGGAGTGGTGCATCATGGGAAGCAAAGCACCCTGCACGCTGCAGTGGATGAAAGTGCCTAAAGGAAACAGCACTTTCTTACCTGCAGGTACGTTTTTCTCTTCTCTGGTATTTTTTCTATCAACTTGGACACTTACTGTAATTTTTGTGGGATGGTTTTGCAGGATACTTCAAACCGGAATTGAGATATTCATTCAATATTTATGGATGCACAGATCATGGAGACAAACTGCTGGAGACACAGACTGGATACTTTAAGGAGTCCAGTAAGTCTTTTTACTGAGAGAAAATATTTCTTTAAAAATATTTTATTTTATTTTTTTGTCTGTTTGATGAAAATATGTCTTGTTTCAGAGGAAAGGAAAAATTGGAGTCAGGATTAGTTTATTACAAGTATTCAATAAAATATATATATATATATATATATATATATATATATATATATATATATATATATATATATATTTTTTTTTTTTTTTTTTTTTTTTTGGTATCAGGTCTGGAAAAAAACCAGGAAGATGTTCTTTACACAAAATCATAAAATTTTTACTTGATTAATTCAGCAATTAAAACCACCTTTAAATTCATGTACAAACACTTGTGAACAAAATTTAGTCTCACAACTGAGCATTACCATGCTTCCTGTTTATTCCGTTGATTCTTATCAATTCACATCATTTCCACTTCCCCAGGATATGTGGAGCCCCCAAGAATAATACAACCTGTTAAAAGGACATATACATCTGTGACACTGGAGTGGCACTATGACGAAGACGATCCAGCCCAGAGGGCATTCATCACTGGTTACCTGGTAACGGTGCAGGAAGTGCAGACTGATGCTCGTTTAGGTCATGCTGCAAGTGAGTTCAGAGGAAAACTTTGAATTACACGAGGACTGTTGTAAACATCAATGTAATATAATTTGATCAGTGGGCATAATCTCAGATAAACAAAACCTTGTCTACCTAGTTTTATTCAACGTTTCCGTGGGCGATCCCCGGCAAAAGTCAGTAACCATGGAGGGTCTGCAGCAGGACCAGGAATATGTCTGCTCTGTGAGGGCTCTGACTACAGTTGGGCCCGGATCAGCTGCCAGCATTACCATCAGGACCAAAGTTAACAGTGAGCTTCGTTCGATCCAGGACTTTCACAAAAACACGACAGTTACCAAAATAAATCAGTTAAGCTTGGATGTCTTCGGTTTTCCCAGCTCACTGAATTCTGGTATTTCTCTGATTCTCTCTGCAGATTTTTCCCACTTACCAAAGATCTTGACTCCCATCCTGCTCCTGCTGGGCTGCACCGTTCTGCTGTGGCCACAAAGGAAAATGTGAGAGATGGGAGTGTTTAGATTTACTCCAGTATGTTTATATTCAAATTTTTCCAGACCTCTGAGATTTTGTGTGTTTCCCCTAGTTTAAAAAATGGACTGAGGGAGATATTTACTTATCCTGCTGGTATGAACATCAAAACTCCTGAGTTTGAGAGCTTCTTGAATGAGGTATGGATAGATATTTCATTAATCTCAAAGGAAGTTTAGTTTTATTTTTGTTTGCTATAACTACATTCAATCATGCAGCTTTAGTGGTTTTTAAAATGAGAACTGGGTGGACAAGTTTGAATTGTTTTTTTTTTTAAACATCTTCAGTTCAGATATCTCATAGAAAGCTGCAAACGTTTTGGATCCATCAACATTTTCTTGGTATAATTCTGGCTGAATGTCTGACCACTGCTGACCACTGTTCTTAGCAGAATTGGTAGAAGCTGGTATAAATCCAAAGTTTAATCCTTTAAGCATAGTCCACAGATTTCTGTTGAATTGAGATCAACAGAAATATATATATATATAACATTCCTAATGAACTAATTAACTACTTGTGAAAAAAACTTCCTCTCAATTTCTGTGACTTCTATAACATTAAATGTTATATTTTTATCCATTCCTGATATAATTCCAGTTTCTGTCGTAAATTCTTGAGAATGTTTTTTGTTGAGAAATGTTTGACCTTTTTAATGTTTCGGTTTGCGTCTTTTCTCACACCAAGTTTCGACACCCTCGTCTGATAAAAATAATCACAAAAATGACTTCAGGTTTCTCTAGAAGGCATGTTTTTTTTTCATATATTTTTTTTCTGCATTCTGGTTTAGACTGGTCAGAAGCTGCAGTCTCAGAGAGAGGAAGAGTGCATCAGCTGTGACATTGAAGTCTTGACAGTCAAACCTTTGTGGCATGAAAGCTCAATCCTGATGGATCCTGAGGGTACGGACACAATGTGCTCGCCTGCTCCCCAGTCGTCTCTTCCTCCTTCCTGTCCACTCCAAACAGGCTACCGGCCTCAGTCTGCTGTCCTGCTCTGTCAAACACCCCCCCATCAGCAGCTGAGGTGCATTGTAAACAAGAGCTACTTGAGCCCCATCACTGAGTTTAGTGAAATCAGATCCAGCTTTGAGACGTCCGACTGCCTGCAGGGATCATGTGCAGAACTTTATGGTTACATCTCTGATGGTTAAACACAAAACAAACAATGTTGAGCCTTTTTGCTCTCCCATTCAAGAGTATAAAAACTCTAAAAGTGGAGGCAAAATGTTAAAACCTAGTGCACTGTTGCTTCTAAACCTCATTTTGTGATTTCTACCACACTCTTAACATGCCTTATTTTGGTGTGTTTGGTTTCAGAATCTTTCAGATTGCATCACGGCACAGCAGTGAATGCATGCGAAACGCACGAAAGCAACTCACTTTACTCATCATGATAAACACAGAGGGAACTAGAGGTTTTATCTACAGGATGTATAGAGAGAGCAGGTATGAGATAGGAAAGATGCAAGGTGGAGATTAGTTAAAACAGTTTCAGAAACTACACTGAACTGTCTTGAAAGTGAGATATAATGTGAAAAGTTCATCTTAACCACAGGTAAACCTTCTGGTTTTCAGGTCACACGAGGCAATAAAACATTTAAACTTTTAGTTGCAGATTTAATATGATGGTACATGAATGTTCTGCTCTCCCCGGAAAAGGGTGCATTGCATTGAGCAGGGGGTCAGTGACTACAGCCAGAGGGAGAAATGTCCTTTCAAAGTATGTTTGTGCTTGAATGGACCAGTCAAAGCCCAGGCCTAAATCCAATTGAGAATCTATGACGAGATTTGAAAGCTGATGTTCACAGCGGCTCAGCGACTGAACCACTAAAGCCCTGCAGCTTTAACTGCAGTGTGGTTTCAGAAATATGTGACACTTTGTGTTGATCTAACACTTAAAATGCCAATCAAATATTTAAATGTTTCCTGTAAATACTTTTGCATATATTGTTAAGTGTTTTGTGTCCCTGAAATAAGATAAATTGTTTTTTTCTGTTCTTTGGAGAAAATACCAATGGAAAAGAAAAATTCAATAGAGAAAGGTCACAACCTGTTGCAGAACTCGGTACCATGTTTGTAAATCCTGTGACGAAGGGATCATCAGTTTCACTGTAAATAAGTGTAAATGTAATATGGAATAATAAAGCCATTAACTTCTGCTGTGTAGCAACAGGCAACTCAGTAACAAGATTCTTGTCTTCTAAAATAACCAACAAGCTGCTGCTCTTGTTTTGTACATGAAGGGATTTTGCAGGAAAGCACATGAAGCAGATTCTTCAGAGCAATCAGCTCTGAAGGCCCGACTGCTCTAAAGCAATCAGCTGTTAGTTTCATGTGTAACTAATTTCATTTGAAACTAACAGGTTCAAATGAAACTGTTAGTTTTATTTGAACCGATGTTAAATTTGTGTGCAAAGAACTAAAAAGAAAAAAAAAAACAACAACCTTTGATCTTGTGTATTTTTATTTTTAATAAGTAATGTTTTATACAATGTCTTGCTGCCAAAAAAATAACCAGAAGCAACCATTATAGTTTAACTAGTTTTCACCGTTAGTGGCATTGTACTGTGGACTGTTGCCCAAAGCAAAAGGCTGGTGCACAAGCTAAATCCATCAGTTAATTGTGGCCTGAACAACTTTTCTATCATTTTTCTACATGGGTATTTGACATGCCAGTTGTTAAATGGCCCTATTTGCGACTGAGAAAAGAGAAAGCAAGTTAAATGCTTTCTGCTCTGCATCTTATCCTGCCTCCGTATCTCTAACTTCTTGCGTTGTAGGGCAGCAATAGGAAGGTTTGAATCAACACAGTTTTCTACCATGAAATGTCTGAGGTTTATCCGTTCATCTGGCCGTTTTGCAAATGATGAATGTTTTGCAATCCCCAGAACTGATGCTTATCTTTCACGCTATGCATCATTTTGTGCATGAAAAGGAAAATTGCGTGCGAGTGTCATGCTATTTATGTCATTCTAAAGGAACATCTTGTGTCAATGAAAAACAGCCAAAAGTAGAAATCGTTTCGGTTCTTGTGTGTGTGTGTGTGTGTGTGTCGTTGAAATAAAATGTAATGCCCAGCAATTGCTCTAGAATTCAAAAACAGAATGCATGAGGTTATATGAGCTTTTATGGTATTTTAGAGTTTATTTTATAAAAAAAAAAAAAAAAAAAATCAAACTGATCTTTTTAAGCAACATAGGCTTCCTGGGTTCCAACGTTACCGTTACAGTGAATTAGCTAAATTCAGGAACCAAAATCATGGTACAGTTCAAAGATTAGCCAGAATTTAGCTGAATTCCTACATAAAAAACAAAATATATCTAATCTATTTCGACACTCTGCTTTTTGAACACTGGAGAGAAGAGCAGCTGGACTTACATTCATGAGAAAAAGCACAGTCTGACCTGCAAAACTCTGTTTCAATTTATCAGCCTTTGAGTGAGCACAGAGGCTGCGATTGCACCTAAAAACCCAAATATGAGATTTAGGCATGACAAGCATAACGTGTTAACCAAGTTTATTTGTATGGCACATTTTCTTCAACAAGGCAGTTAGTTCATAATGCAGCTATGTAATTTTTTTAAGACTCTAAACTGGTTTCTTCATGCAGAAAATGTGTCAGATGACTTAATGCACTTATTTAAAAAAAATTAAAAACGGTGATATATTATTGTTTAATAATGTTTTTTTTATTATTTTTTTTTCACAACTCAGGCTTTAACTTTGTATTACTCTTTCCACCTAAAACTACAGCAATATTTTCATCAACACAAACGCATCACATTTCTTCACAGAAATAAACCACCTCCCAGCATTTACATTTGCTCATTTATTACAGGATTTTGTTTGACAGGATGCTTAAAGACTAAATGAATAAACTTTCCATTAGTTTAGGGATATTTTAGAACAACAAAATAATAAACCAAACACAAATTTCCATTCTTTTTGTGCTAAGTTTGCTTAGTAAATAGAGTATTTATAATTAAAATGATATATTTCAGAGGGTTTGTCTGATAAACTGTTCTTTTAAACTGCTGACACAAAGTCGACTGTGAAACAGAAAAGCTGCTCACCAGGTATGATCCCGTTGGTCCTTGTTAAAGAATCCTCTGTGTTGGACGGATGAGTGGCGGCTGCGCTGGAAACTTTAGGAAACCAATACAGAGAAACATAACACACTGCTAACAAAACAGAATAGAAGAATAGACGTATGTTTATTGATGTGGCATGTCGGTAACATTTTCTAAATGTATATGTTTTTATTATTCTGATATTTTTGTGTTCAAGATCTTAAATTTTAGTTTTTGTTTTTTTTCCCTATTAACCTGGTTTTACAGAAATAATTAGGATATATCCAAGTCATAACTACCATTTCGGTCCAGCTTAAGGCAAAATAATAAGTAAAAAAGTAAACACTGATCAGGATTATTTTTAAGATGCACCTGTGTAGGCTATATTAAAACGTTGCAACCAATGAAACATATCTTCTTAAAATAAAATAAGGGGACTGTCCGTCACACAACCTATCTCTAACCAGCTTACCTTTTAAATTTAGAAGCTCTTCTCTCAGATTTGGGTCAACCATCTGAAATGCAGCAAACATGTTGTGCTTTGAGTAAACAAAACAGTAGAGCAGAGATTCCAGGCAGGGCAGCGGTAATCACTGGTGGCAATGTTCTGCTCAACAGCACCTGCTGTCTCAATCAGAGCTTTAAACTAAAAAGAGGAGACAGAAAATCACAAGGAAAATCAACACAAGGAGCAGACTCTGCTGCTCACTGCAACAGCTGAAACTTGCTGCTGGAAATCAAACAATGCGTGGACTTCAGACCAACAACAGGAGCCAAGATAAATGTTTTTGCTTGATCGCATGTTCTCAGGTTTGCAAAAATAAAAATAAAAATAAAAAAATATATATATATCGTGCAGCATAGAAGAGCTACAATTTCTAAACTGAATTCCCAAACTCTGGATGTCTTGGCACAAAATCTCTGATCAGAAACGGGTAAGTCGCTTCTGAACCTTTTAACTCCTCACCTTTGAGATGAAAGTTTGCCGGACGGTAGCCGAGCTTTTGTTTTCCATCTTTGTCCACATTTCAGAGGTACAAGTTCAAACTGCTGAACTGCTCGCTGCTTTTTTCAGTTCAGCTGCGTTTTTGGTGACGCATTCACGGACCTCCTTCAAACTCGCATTTTACAGTTCTCCACAAAGACTAAATTGCGGAAACTTCAAGCTAAAATCATTACCTGTACTGGTTTAAAACGCATTAGGACATGCAGTTGGATATTTTACCCATAATCATAATTTTTATTTTAAATCTGAGCTGAGGGGAAGATGGACTTCATTCATTTGGCAGAAAGAATTGATACAAATATTCAGAATAAAAATGACTAAGACTGATAAACAATGAGGAATAACATTTTTAAAAAATATAGTTATTTCTTGGTTAAATTACACCGTTGATTTTTTTTCTTAACACCAAACTTTATTTTTAAAATATTGCTATTTTAAAGCTTATCAACAATATTTATGGGTAAACATGTATAAAACCTTGGCAGAGAGATTGTCATTACTTTTACTTGAATTTTACATCCAAATAAGAGTTAATAACTATTTATTTACATTAGTTTATTTTATTTTTCATAAATATGGGGGAGTTGAGAAACACACTGCTACTTTTTTTTTCATTTTTTTAGAGAAATGTTTTATTTGCACAACAAAAAAGGGCATGCTTTTTTGTTTTGTCTGGATGAATAGACAAGACAAAAACATACCCAAATTGAGCTAATTGGATCCTCTAATCGCTTAAATAAAAGCTTTTTATATAAAAAATACTTGGCAAACAGTCCAAAAAATGTAAATGTGTCTCCTCTTTTAAAGCACCTATATCTGTAAACTGTTTGTTCTTTAATTTCCTCCTTTGTAACGCATTTCTCACAGCAAATTAGCAGCTTCTCCATCCAGGATCAGCACAGAATGGCTCCACAAATCTGGCCTGATTTTCTGCAACTATGGATAAATATATTTAATGCTTTTATAAATAAAAAGAAGGGACACAACAGGCATTTTGATTTTTATCCGAGCATGAATAAATGCTCTGTAAACAACCTGAACAAGCTCACAATGCAATAAACCAGGGCCGATAAAGACGGAAAATGATCTGATTTTAAAAGTGAAGCTCACATTTGGATCAAAACATTTAATGCAAACCGTTTAAACCACACTGTTCCAACACAGCGGCCATTGGACCAGAGCTTACAGCATAACACCAGAAAAACGTTTTCAAAAGACGAAGCCAGAGATCTGGAAAAACAAAAACAAGAAACTCACTGGACAAGCCTCTCGTCAATCTTAGTCAAAAGTAAAGCATGTCAAAGTTTAATGAAGTGTCCGTCGTGAGAAACATTTTGAGCTTTTCTCTGCACTGCAAGAGAGACACACAGCAACAGTCTGCAGATATTGCACCAAAGTTTACACTGTAAAAGCAGAAAGAGCAACAGACGGCACAACAAGCTTCTCAACGCACACAAACACGCAGGCACTCAGAATCTACACAGACTGCAGCTGTATGTTGGATCACAAATGTACACAATGAGAGCAGAGAAATATCTGAAACGCAGATCTGAAGGCAGTGTTTCATCAGAAATCATAAATATGAAGCAAACGGTGCTCGCTGCACGTGAAAGTCAGAAGTGGAGTGACTAAAACCCATCCAGACGGGCGTGGGCTCCTGTGGGGGGCGATCCGTGTTTCGAGAGGAACAGAAGATGAGTGCAGCTTTTTCTGAGCGGGCAAAACTCTGTTCAGGTGACACGTGTGTGTGAGTTTTGGATATCAGAATGATTAGCATGCTTAGGGATTTTTAATATATTTGACACCAAATCTTCTATTCCTCTTTGGCTTTAAGTCTCATCATCACACGTCACAATCAGCCAAGGCAGGAATGTTGAAGACTTCATTTAACATCAGACAGACAAAGGCAAAAAAGCAACTAAATGTAGCAATGCAGCAATGCTTAAAATTGGACATAAAAGTCTGCAAAGTTAAATATGTCCTTCAGAGTCTAATTGAGATTATAGTACATAAAGACAGCGCCCCCTGTTGGACATATATATGCCTCTAGTTACGAGGAACCCAGTTTTGACATGTTGAATATATGAGATTGTCAGTTGCTTTGAAGCAAAAGCACACATGTGGTTAATACTCTGTCAATAAGTTTAAGAGATCAAGATATTAAGTTTAGATTCAACCTGAATAACATTAAATGGTTTGAAGACGTTCTAACGACACACCGTTAGTACTTAACGTCACGCTAAAATATTCTCAGCTGGTCAGAATCACCACACGGATGTTTCACCTTTGACAAGGTTTGAAGCATGATTCAAAACTGTGACTTCCTCCCACTAAACGCCTTCAGTCCTTCAGCCCCCATCACAGAGAGGTCCCGTTTAAAAGCGGCCGCCGTTTTTCCTGCTCCCCATCTGGGATTGACACAGCGTCCCGGTGGAGAGCGCGTAGCTGGTGCATGATGGGGGTTGTAGGAAAAGCAGAAAGCCAGAGAGACGTTTCCACAAGGACGAGGCGGCAGCATCACATGATTTCACAGCAGGAGTTCTGTTTCCGTGCCTGCAAAGGTAGCAAAGACCACAACGTTCACTGTAGCAGCAGCATGAACCCGGTTCAATGTTGCAGGAGAGTCTGTCATATTTACGGTCTTGTAGAAGGCTTTAGACTGGTTTCCCAGGTGCTCCGACTTTGACACGAGATCATCCAGTTTCTCTCCTCTTTCCAGCAGACTCTCCATGGTGTTGTGCTGCAGAGGACAAAATGTTGTCGTGAAATAGTGCAGCACATTGAAAGCTATCAAATAGGTCAGTAAAAGTCACATAAAATGAGGGGATCCTGCAAATCCATACTAAAACATAACAGATGTAAACTAAACTTTTAAATTAGTGTGACAGAAATGGCTGCTGTTGTAAATCTCTTGAGTTTTTTTTTTTTTTTCCATAAAACTTTGCACAACAAAAGACAAAATATTAGCCTTTTACTGCTTTAGCAGTAATCCGGATCCATCTGGGTTGTGGAAACACTGAAATAGGTTGACCAGTTTTGGAGTGTGGCAAAGAGTAAATTCACTGCTTGTTTTGAGACCTGGATTAAAATAAATCTGCTCTTTACTTTATTAGTTGCCATCTAGTTCCGATAGTAACTTTACCAAGTTAAAGTTTCGGGATGGGTTGATGCTCTTCACCAGACATAATTTTCATTATCAATTTGCTACCTTAAAATTTGACACAGATGCACCAGGTTCAGGTTTTATTTTTTTTTTAAATATATATATCCTTAAGAAAGGCTTTAAAACATTTAAATACTGACAGATGATTATCAAAAGTATTTAAAAACTGTTGTTTTGTGAAAGAAAGTCAAAGCTTGTATTATTCACTATTCTAAATATTTCTTTAAGGATTTAATTTAATTTGTTCTTAGTCAGTTTGAGTTGGTACAGCTGAAGATGCGCTGGATGTTTCCCATCTTAATTCAACTGAAGCATAAAGGACAGACTCATCGGTCTAATTACAGCAAACAGACTGTCAGGAAGGAAGTGGCAGTCTCCATTAAACTTCATTATGGGAACAATTACAGTTCCGCTTCTCAGTTTGCGTTGCTGGCATCGCAAGGCTTCGATAGTCAATCCACAAAAAAAAAACTGAAAACATGTCTAATGCCTAAATACACTGAGGCATCCGTGTATTTAGGCACCGGGTTTTTAAAGAACCCATTTCGTATTAATTTGGAGTCACTGTGAAGAGGTTTACCAAAATGATCTTTGTCTCATCCAGCTCCGCTTGTACTTTGGTCATGGCGTCTGCTTCCCTGGGGTTCTGAGGAAGAACAACATTCGGAGCGAAACCAGCCGTCAGCTTCAACACGACTGTTTTAAAATGCTGCAAAATGATTCAATTTGTCTTCTAAAGGGACACATATTTATCCTTGCAAAAAAAGTTTATCAACAGTCTTATTAGCAGACATTGTAACAAGTGACTCAAGAAGAAATCATCATTTTAATATACTAGGATATTCAAACAGGTTTTAGCATGGTAGCTAAACCTACCTGGTATTTTGAAAGGTGAATGTCCAGACCTTTGTAGCTTATAGTGTCAGGATTACCAGACGGCCAGTCTATACTGTCCACTTGCCTGGAAAACTCTTCTAACACCTACAAACCGCAAGACGTTTTAAAGAAGTACAACAGAAAGCAAAATGATACCAAACTGCTTCGTTTTCATCCCCACCTTGTCGAGCAGAGTGAAGCAGACCCTCTGTGGGTATTCAGAGTCTGAGATCACCACAGCACTCAGGTTGTCGTTTCTCACATACACATGGCAAAGATATTCTGCAAATATATTTGAATAAATGCAGTCCAATTAACTCAAGAGAAATTTAATAGTGAATCTTCATTCTTCTTCTGGCAACTTCAAAGACTTTTGAAACTTAAAAAGAAAAAAAAAAAAAAACAGCTGAGAGTTTCCTCATAGCTGGACTCTGAAAGCCCGCCTCCTTTATGAGTCATTAACAAGCAACTCATACAGGATAGAGTAAACAAAGGAATATAAACAGGAAACTGAATAAATGATTGCGGAAATAAATGGCGGAGGAATATTAAACAAGGAAACAAGGAAATGTTTGAGGGTTTTCTAATAAGAAATGCAGTGAAAATAGAAAACAAATTAAAACTGTTTCGTTTTCATTTGCACATTCAAAGTGTATAATATAAATAACATCAGCAAAATATAATCACGCAATTTGCCATCAGAAACAGTCTTACCTTGCTCTTTGACTGAGGCACGGGTTCCGACAGATGTTCGCTCCGCAATCAAGGCACTGGTGAAGGTCATGAACTCCTGAACACTAAAGGTGCAAAAGATGATTTTATTGCTCATAGAAAAACAGTACACAATTATTGTAGGGGAAAAAAACAACAACTTTACAACAAATTTACAGAAAAGGCAGGCACAAACTCTGCAAGAACAGAACTGGAAGGACACACTGGCATCACTGGTTTAAAAGTCCTTGCTGTTGGCTCTGAATTTATTAAATGGAAGAAACTTTCTTTGCATGTGGGGCGAGTCTGACAGACAAGTTATGGATCTGCTGCAGTGTGAGGGACCTATAAGGAATTATCAGGACTTTTGCACTTGAGTACTTGAAATCTGCAGACTGGAGAGAGCATAACAACAATGTACCTCCAAGTCTCATTTATCTGGAGACAAACTGAATTTTAATAAAAGTGAGAAGTAGAAGTATGTTATTTAATGTTTTAAAGAACCCATTCAAGTTTTCTTGGGTGAAATTGTTTGTTTTGATGTAGAATTTACCTAAAAGACGTAAACATACCTACGGATATTGTATTTTTTTATATATTTATAGAGATCTA